AAATTATTTAAGGACGTAGCTTATTTACCCATAAAGTTAAATATCTATTAGGGACGAAAAATTAAGTTGTCTCGAAAAGTTAAATATCTAAAAGGCATGAAAAATAAAACTTTTTTCTTTTGAAATAAAACATAAACCCTAATTTTGTTAAAGACATCTACACCGTTTCCCTCTCTAGCCTTATCCAATTTTTTGCAATGACAAATATGCATATAGTTATATACAAGTAATCACTACACCAAAATTGGGTTATAGAGGCAAAATCATTGAGGCGGTTGTCTTTACCGACCTCAAAGAACAAAGGTGCATATCAACGTTGTTTTTTAAAAAGTTCATGAGGCGGTTGGTAAACCGCCCCATCGTTTAAGACTTAATTTTTTTTTTCAATTTCGATTCTCAAAAGAAAAAAAAATCTTCACTATCCCGCCCCTCACTTAACACAGCAGCCTTTCTTTTAGGTTATTTTCCCCTCCTATCTCGCCCCTATCCTTGACAAAAGAAATTTCCTTTTCTCGTCTTCTCCTTTAACAAAACTACCCCCTTCCCTTGAAAAAAAAATTCAGATTTTTCATCTTTTCTCCTTCAACAATAGACCACCCCCTTCCCTTGAATCTTCTCTTTCAATAACAAACCGCCCCTTCCCTTGACAAAGAAATTAGAATTTTCATCTTCTCCATCTATAACCAAGAATTAGGTTTTTTCATCTTCCCCTCCAATCCCCCCTCCAAAAAAAAAATAAATTAGGTTTTCTTTTTTATCTTCTCCTCCCGCCCCTTTTCCTTGACAAAAGTAATGTTATGAAGTTCAATTATATACCTAGCCTTATTGATTCTTGAGCAAGAAGGTCTTCAAAAGGTGGGTTTTCAAAATTTATGTAATAATCTCATAAGTGATATAGTCTTATTTATATGAGAGTCATATTTTATTTTTTCTTAATTTCGTCGGGATCTTTTTGGGGTTTTTTCTATCGGAATCAACAATTCTAAAAGGTAGCCAAATGAACCTCCTTTGTGCATTTTTTTAGTCTACATTTTAATTTGCTTTCCTTCTACTGAATTAGAGACCTATATGTGTATCATTTCTCTCGCTTCGTCTCTAAAGTTTGTTGATATGTTGATGGCCAAATCTTGACTTTACAATTGCTTTATATGAAATCAAATACATAAGGATTATGTTAGTTATATTATTGTAGATTATCAATGTAAACCTTCAAGTCAAGTCCGAATTTATCATATAATTTCCAGTATGATTCCCCTCACATGGCATATGATAATAATCTAGTGCTACCACCTTATTTTCATAGAGTTTTGATGTCACTAATTGAAGGTTTAAAATCCAAGTGAAGGTACCGAAGAAGAAAATTTCTCGAACCAAAAGAATTGTTAAAAGTTGTCGTATTCCTTCAAAATTTGCCAGATTAATTTTGGCGGGGATGCTTTGATGCGGGGGTAGGTGAAGTTTATTTCGATCTTAATAGTATGTCAGTTAATAACTTATGAAGGCAATTTTAGAGTCTATACTCGCCGTAGTATAATCCCATATTTCTCAATTACTTGTGTACTATATTGGTTCCCCTAAGTTCTTATCGGATACAAACTTGCTATGAAATTTCTTGCATAGTTAGTTATAATCGGATGTGTTTTACCACTATCTAGTTACGAGATTGTACTTAGCATTATACACACATGGATGCATTTTTATCATGATGAAGTGTCTATCCGAATTTGATTGTTTCCTTTGTAGAGCTAATGTACAACAGTTGAAACTTTTTGTTAGAATGATTTTGATTCTCATCTTTATTGAGGCATTGGCTTTATATGTACTTATTGTTGGTATCACCCTCTCTTCTCGTGCTAGCCAATCCGAGAGCGAGTAGAATACTAGTTTTTAGCATAGCTTTGCTATTTTCGGGTTGGTGATGCTAGTGAAAAGGGTGTGAGTGTTAGATCAAATTATTATCATGCATGTCATTTCTCCAAATGTATTTAAGGGTATTTCCAAACTAGTTTTACATTTGGGATAAGCTTCTTATTGAAATAAAATTGAAAAATTCAATGCTAAACTCAACATGAAAAATTCTATCTTTGAGCAATAAGTCGTACCGAGTAGTCATCTTATTCCTAATATGTTTAATTATGTCACTCGCTATTATATGCTCATAAAGAGTTGCCATAAAAATTTCTTAAATTTTAATTGATAATATGTTTCTTAAGCTTATAAAAATCTAAAAGTATAGTTGATTCATATACTCATTCTATGAATCCGATGGTACTTTAGGGACGAGTTGCATCCACTCGGAACAAGGGACGAGTACTTAGGAGATTCTTGTGGGAGATAATGGATGGGTTGATCATCGAGAAAATGGAATTCTCTATTCCTTTGATGCTACTAAGTGCATGTTCTCCTTGGGTAATCTTTCCGAGAAGCTTCATATGGGCAATCTAGAGTGCAAATATGAGGTTATAGTGGATTTATTTGTTGGAATAGGATATTTCACATTGCCATTTCTTGTCGGGTATTGTGTGATTTATCTTAGTCTACTTACACCTTCAATTGTGTTAGGATCTTGCTCTCCGATAAAAATTCGATTGTTTCAAATTCAATTGTTCTTTTACTTTTTAATTTCCGGAGAATTAAAACTATAGGAAGATAATTTTCAATGGTCCAATGGTTGGTTTTGGCCTTGAACACCTCTTAAGTTTATTCTTTATCCAGTAGTAGAAGTTATTCGTTAAATGGTGCATTGTCGTAAATTTTAGTTTAAGTCTACTCGAATTACTAAGCTCACTTTTCATTGTTTCACTTTTTTTGTATCCGATTTTGAGTTTTAAGGTTATGTTAAGTAGGGCCAAAGCATAACTAGTTTATGCTTGTGAATGGATTCCTCATGCTCGTTGAGGCACCGAGACATACTATTAAATCAAATTCCGTCTCTGGTCGGTGTATTGTCCTTCAAAGAGACAATCGAATGACGACTCCTAAAGTACATTTTGCTCTAGTCATTGGTAATGTTTTACCTATAAATCTCTTTATGTGTTGAAGCATGCACTCAACTTTCGAGTCACAAGCTTGATTTGTTAATGTGTTGCTCGTTATCCTATGTGTTTTCATAACAAATATCCTCGCCATGATAAGATGAGCATCGATTACAAGGATGTTGTACTATTACTTATTCATCTAATTACTTTGTTGCAAGGAATTGCTAATCGAGTTTTCTTGGTCTTCTTCCAACAAGTGAGGGCAGTTGGGCTATTGTTGTTAGGGCATTAAAGTTTAGTTCACGTCTACTCGAATTACTTAGCTCACTTTTCATTGTTTCACTTTTGTTTGTATTTGATTTTGAGTTTTAATGATGTGTTGAGTAGGGCCAAAGCAAAGCCGGCTTATGCTTGTGAATAGAATCCCCATGCTTGTTGAGGCACCGAGACATAATCTTGAAGCAAATTTTGTCAACATTAGCCATTTATTTTAAAACATATTGGGAATTTTTTTTATGTATTTCGAACAAGTGTTTAATCCTTTATTTTTTCTTCTTCTTGTGGATGTTTGAAGATTTTTTATGTATTTAGAATTTGATAATTACAAATTTAAGAATATTATGTAAGTTATATAATTTTTTTTATTTGCATTCAATATGATGTAACCATTTTTTAATTAATTTTTTTTGACAAAAAAAATAAGTAATTAATTGAATTTGAAGGCCTCTATAAATTCTAAATGAAGTAATTTATTTATTTTTTAAATCTACAATATAGGGCAATCTAAACTATCTTTACAATTTTAAAGTTTGGGGTGGTTATACATTTTAAAAGAGGCGAGATTGTAGAGGCGGTTTTGAACCACCTCAAATTACACCCCAAACAAGCACTAAAAGAATCATTGTAGAGGCGGTTGTAACCGCCTCTACAAATTCTTTGAGGCGGTTGCAACCGCCTCAAGAAACCGCTTCGAGATTCCTCGACGGTTGGCAAAACCACCTCTACACCCTAGAGACGGCGGCATTGCAAGCGGTTTTGAGGCGATCCTTAAAATCGCCTCTAGAGAACAAAAAAACCACCCGCAATGCCGCATGATATTTTACTTGAGAAATTGAATGAGAAGTGTAATACCGCAAATCTACGACTAAATGAATTAATATATTTTAAAAGTGCATGATGACTTCAAGTCTAAGGACCGATTATACCCATCTCGTATGAGATTTCATAAACTAAATCAAATAGGTTCTCATGGCGAGTCAAGTCCGAGTGATATGCTCTCTAACATTAACCAACCAAGTGCTTGCTTTGGCGTCATCATGACAATATGTGTGAGATCTTCTACTGCTATCATATAGCATGGTCATAGAACTCACAAATCTAACTCGTATAAATATAGTTAATGTCTATTCTAGACAATGCTACGACTTAAGACATTTAATGATATCATTTATGTGCATTAGTGTTTGTTTCACATCTTTTAATCAATCACTAATGCAAATGCATATCATATGAACTTCTATCTAATTCTATTCAATAAATAAATATAAGACGTAAAAACTAATAGAAAGACTTCTTTTATTAATAATAAAATAAATGATGCAATAATATAATAACTCAAACCTATCAAAAGATAGTTGGATCTTGGGCATCTACACTAACGGATCATGCCACATCATTTAAGAGTGGATGATCAGATTTGGCTTGACGGATTTAGGTTTTTTAAAATAAATTGCTTCAACTTGCTAACAAAGGCTAAAAAAAGTAACAATTAGGTCTTCCTTCGGCGAATCCTCGCTCCAAGCTCACTAAGCTAATCTCCCTAATACATCCCAAAAGCAAGGCATAGACACTAGCATTGTCAAAACACTCATGTCCATCGTTACAACTCATGACTAGCGCCGAGTGAGGCCCGTCCTCAATCCAATTAATTTATAGTGCGGTTTGAGTCCATGTCAAAAAATAAAGAAAATAACATGGAAAAAAATACAAGTTTATTGTAACACAAGTGATACTCTCTGTTCCATGAATTTGTTCTATAGACTATACGCACAACTTATTGCCCTTATTTTCCTACAGAAAGCCATCTCTGAAGCTACTGACCTTGTGGACGGAAACAAACAGTTGAAGCGCAAAATTGAGCCACTAATAACTCAATTGGAAAATCCAGACGGCATGAAAATGGTCGAGCTTCATGAGGAGCGGGACAAATGGAAACTTAAAGCCAAGAGACTCCAAGTGATAAAGGATGCTTTATGTGGCAAGGATGAATAATGTCGAACAATGAAGAGAGTGGAGCAACCCTGCATGACAAGATACCCTCACTAATAATGTTACTAATTAAATAATATCTATGTTATTACTTGTCTAAATTTATGAGAAAAAAGAAAAACCCACAGCTCGTGAAGTAGATGTAGGACTTAGAAGTTAAGTCATCTTCTAACATGACAATTTCAAATAATCGCTCAATTCAAACATTAAGTGTTAAATGAGATAGCATAATATTATTTTATATTATTTCCTAATAATTTTTTTCTTTTCAAATGAAAGTGATCTATGAACATGAAAATGAACATGAAACTTACATACACACACCTCACATTATCATGTGTTGCATAATTTTAATTAATTAGAAGAATGGACTAATAGGTTTCAAGCTCGATTGATCCCGACCACTTGGTCAAGTTATAATACCATATTGAAAGAATCATTCAATTAAAAAATTTAGCTTGTTCAAGCTAGTGAGGTTTCTGCATGAGCATTAAATTAACCCCAACTATGATTTGATAATATCATTCTCGTATAGAGAGAACTTTAATCGAAGAAAATTACTTGTTTAGCAATGTGGCCACGGGGCTGCAAGATGTTTTTAACGAGTACTGTAGTAATGATAGGTGATCATGCCTATAGAGTCGAGTTTATTTTCTTATATACTTTGAAAAGTATTGTTGGACAAAAATTAAGCCTTTGGCTCTTTGTATAAACAATTTTTATTTTCCCACGCACAACAAACAACCGATAAGGCGATAAATGATTTTATTTAAAAACACTCTAACATTGTAAAATAACTTATTTTTCAGAAAAAAATATCTTTTCTGTAAAATATTATTCTAAATGCAAAATATTTTTTTGGAAATAAACACCCCCTTAATTTTTTGTGTTTTTCTTGGTTAAGTTTTCTTTTCAATAAGTGAATCAATATGTTTGCAGTGCTTCATACCTGAATTTTAAAGTTTACATTAAAATGTGTTAATTTAAATAAAATATACTTGATCTTTAATTTTGTGGGAATCACTACTGCTCCTATCGAGAATATCGTTTTGCAATTAATTATCGACTTGTAATTGTCGGTTATATGAATTATTTTTTTAATTTTTGTTACGTACAAGGAGAAAAAACAACAGTCAAACAAAGAAGCAGAAATTAGAACGTACATAATTAAGAAAAGTAATACAAGCTGATAAAAGATCATGTCTTTTAGCGAACTAATTAACTCAATTAAGACACTGGTTCAACAATTTTTTGTTCCGATCGGCCACATTAGTTTGATTTTAATACGTTGATTTATTATTCTATACAAACGAATTAACTAATCATATAAAACTTTTTATACCAACTAAAATCACAGTTATTAAAAAACTATCTTGCCTAATTAATCAGACATTTAATACCTTAGATCCATAGTTTACTACCTATCAGTTGCCATGTGAATTTATTTATAGAACTTTAATATGATTTATCTCGTTGAGAAAACTGTAAATTTAATGCCCAATCTTTGATTTTGGTAACTCGACTTTATATTTCTTATGATTGGCTACCCAACCTTTGTTTTTTTTTTTTCCCTATTTTGATACCTAAAATAACCTCGAGACATTATTTTAATGACGTGTCCAATGAGAGCTACCATGTGAAATTTTTTGAGTTTCACATGACGAGTCAACTCAAACATGTCAACAATTTTTATCTAAGGTGACTATGGGTATTTAAATTAAAAAAAAAATCAAAAATTAGAAACTCGAAACAAAAAAAAAATGTAAAAATTGGACACTAAAATAGAAACCATTATTATTTTTATTAACTTTCATTAAGTAATTAAGAGAGAGAGAGAGAGAGAGAGAATTTGTCAAAACCTACACCCTTCCCTCTATCTCATCCTATCCTCACCCACAATCGGGAAGAAAAAAAAACTAGCTACCATTTCCTTCTTCCTCCCTTACACACATTCAACCTCTCACTCTTCTTTGTCGCTAACCAACACCCATCAAGCCACACACCATAGTTGTTGCCACCACCAAAATTGCCATCTTTTCCAAAAATAACGACAATCACTCTAACCGTTATCTCCTTCTCGAACTATTAGCAACCACGCCTTTCTTCTCCTTCCTCGAACCACCACAGCCTACCATTGTCAAAACCCCATGCAAAACTAGTCGTCACTAAAACCTCACATAAAACTAGCCATCAAAGACTCACACCAATATTGTCATATTCACCAAGGCTCGACGCATACACCACCACCATAATCTATCATTTCTCAAACTTTCATTAATGTTGTGATGATCCAAAGACAAGGAAGAGGAAGAAAAAGAATCGATGGGATCGGTGGAATCGGAGATCCAAGAAGGAGGATTAAGGGGATTGAGGGCTAGAGCAATCCGTTTGCTAGATTCTTCATTCATTCACCTTTAATCAACTTCAATTGCTTCAATTATTGCGAAAAGAAAGAATTGCTTAAGTTATTTGGATGAATATTAGGGTTCATAGAATTAGGGATTTTGGAGATTTGATTATGGGAAATATAATATTTTTTTCAACTTCTTTTGTTATGTGGTGAGCATTAGGTTATTATGGGTATTATAGAAGCAAAGTTGTTGATCAATTAATCTAGTTGGATTTGGAAAAGGAAAGAATACTAATATAGGTTTTTCAACTTTTTTTTTAATTTACTTAATTAAATTTCAATTTAAAGACTTTTTTTTCTTTTTTTGTCTTCCATTTCGAGTGCCTAACTTTTAAATTTTTTTATGTTTCAATGTCTAACCTTTGATTTTTTTTTTTATTTAAGTGCCTACAATCACCCGAGATAAAAATTACCGACATGTTCGAATTGATCGCCACGTGACACTTAAAAATGCCACTCGACGACTCTCGTCGGATACGTCATCAAAATAACATCTCGGACGATTTTAAATACCAAAACAGAAAAAATAAATCAAAAAATTCAAAAGTTAAGCAAGTAAATCATGAGAAATAAAAAGTTAGGCACTACAACAGAACCAAAAGCAAATATTGGACATTAAATTTATAGTTTTCTCTTTATCTCGTCTATAGATTTTCATTTTTATATTTTACATTTCAACTTTTACATTATTGAAATATATATATATATATATATATATATATATATATATATATATATATATATATATATATATTCGGTGACTAGAATGCATCATTAATGATAATAGTCATTAATTCTTCTTGTGAGTTGAGGCTACGATCCAAAGTCTTTTTTAACATGAAAGAATTTGTAGGAACTACTCATCTCGTGAAACTCCTCTTTTAATTAAACTATAATTTTTAATCTAAGAACAACCATTGCTAATAGAAATTAACCATTTATTAGTACAACAATTGCAGGTACCAAGCTATACAAATTCAAGTCAATGGATAGAGGAGGTGTACTAAGAGGAATGTTAAGAAGCTACGGGAATTTGAATACATAAGGATACGACCTAATGTTTGTATTCTTAGATGAATTACAAGACCTATTTTATGCTTGCGTGCTTGATTGTCATCATGTGTGAAAGACATGCTAAATACGGCTGGGATTATGCACCACGAACCCCCTCCTGCTCGTCGAGCTAGTTTTGGTTCCCTAACAAGTTTTGTTTTTGCCTTTCAAATTGATAGTAAAAAAATCATATTAATTTATATGGTTTCATCAGCAAAAATGAAGAAATTATCTCGCAAGTTTTTTGTTGTGCATGTAGACATGTGGCCAAACAATATCATCTACGATCTCATTTCCAAAATAATCCTTGATCGTATTTTTATCAAGTCCAAATTAATAGAATTAGTCTCATAATTTATGCATGAAAACTATTTATTTGTTTCACTTGCAATAACATTAGAGTATAAAAAATAATTATGTGTAAGTCACGTGATTAAATTCGATGTTTTAGCCTAAAAATCTTGTCAAATATATATATTTAAAAATAAAATCAACTCAACTAAAAATATAAAAATAAATTAAATATTATTTTATTATATAATAGATTAAGCAATTAAGCTAGGAGAGCACGATCATACCAAAGCTTTAAAACCCATTTTGAGGTATACTTGACCCTACACCGAAAGAACAAAAGAGGAACTCTAACACTAAAAAATAGGCCCAACAAGATTTAAAGTTCAACAACATCAAAGATTTATTGATAATGCTTAAAATATGTGTTTAAATTGCTAAATTTCTCTCGCATTTTAAAATTTTGAGATGTCCAAATGATTAACTTTAACTATCTTTTGTATTCTATGTGCTAGGTGTGGAATTGATTGAAAAATGGCATTAAAAGAATCATGTAAAGAGAATTTACGATCGAACCAATTCAGCCACTGGAGAGCACGAGAAGCGTGGGCACACTAATACATCAAACGTGGATACACCAAGTACAAGAAGCATGAGCACGTTAAGAATAGTAGCGTGGGCACGCAGTTGCAACGGACATAGACGCACAAGGACATGAAGGCATGGGCACGTTGCAACTTGATGCAAGCATGTTGAAATTTGCGTAAACGGACAACGAGACTTTAGAAAGAAACAAAAGTTGTTACGATTTGCCGAAAAAGACGTCGACTTACCAAAAGAGGAGAGAATATTATGTACCATTTTTGAAAAATAAACAACTCGTATAAATAGGAACCTAGCAGACTAGGACAAACAACTTTTTGATTACTCTCATAGGAGGCAACTTTATTTTCTCTCTCTAGCTATGGCGGTCGTCATGAGCAACTAGACTCTTTTCCTTGGTGAAGGCAATCGAAACTTTTGAAAATTAAAAATTTTAAGGTGCTTAAACATTAATATAAATTAGTTTATTTATTTCAAGTATCAAACTTTCTTCTATGCTCATTTTCATGATTATTTAGGTTGATTTCGATGTGTACAGTTGGTTTATTAACTTAGATAATCTATAGCTAGGTCAAATATTGAATTTGTAATTGTTCAATCCCTTTGATTTATGTAGCAACTAGGAGTGTATGGTTTGTTGCATCGA